TTCAAAAAAACCGCCTTCAAAATCGCCATGGAAAGGGCTCTCACCGCCGAGTCGCTCACCAAGCGCCACGCCCAGAAATGCCGCACCCCAAAGGAAAAAGGCGCGTGGGCCGACTGCTTGGAGCTCTACCAAGACACCATCCTCCAGCTCAACCGAACCTTCTCCGACAACTATTGCTCCGATTTCGACATCCAAACATGGCTCAGCTCCGCGTTGACTAATCTCGAGACATGTCGTGCCGGATTCGTTGACCTTAATATTAAGGATTACGACGTCGTTTTTCCTTTTCTTGGGAGGAGTAATAATGTGACTAAGTTGATTAGGAATAGTTTGGCTATGAATAACTGCTCTGAGACGGAGACGGGTTATCATGGTGGGTTTCCTACGTGGGTTAAGGCTGGTGAACGGCGGCTGCTGCAGGCGGCGGTTCCTAAGGCGGACTTGGTTGTGGCGCTTGATGGGTCTGGGAATTATAAGACGGTGCAGGCGGCGGTGGATGCGGCGGCCAAGAGGAAAGGGAGTGGGAGATTTGTGATACATGTTAAGAAAGGGGTTTATAAAGAGAATGTTGTGATTGGGAATAAGGTCAAGAATTTGATGCTCGTCGGAGATGGGTTGAAGTATACCATTATTACTGGGAGTAGGAGTGTCCGCGGCGGCTCCACCACGTTCAACTCCGCCACCGTTGGTACGTTTCTTCTCTCTCTCCTTTTTCTCTCACTAACCCAACGGAAAATACGAGGCGGCCTTCTACGTAAGCCTAAAGTAAAGCCATGAAAATTTATGTTCAATGTGGATAATATTATACAATTGTAGAGAGTCGTGATGTCTAACAAATAAATTGGTGTAAATTTTGTGACTTTGTTCACCTAAACTGTGAGTTTATGCTTAAAGTAGACAATATCGTACAATTATAGAGAGTCGTGCTTTCTAACCCATAAATTATTGTAAATTTTGAAACTCTGTCCACTGTGAACTTATGTTCAAAGTGGACAATATCATACAATTGTATAGAGTCGCGATTTCTAACCAATAAATTATTGTAAATTTTGAAACTTTGTTCACTGTGAGCTTATGTTCAAAGTGGACAATATGATACAATGGTAGAGAGTCGTGATTTCTAACAAATAAATTATTGTAAATTTTGAGACTTTGTTCACTTACGAGCTTAGGCTCAAAGTAGCCAATATCATACCAATCTGGAGAGTCATGATTTCTAACGAATAAATTGTTATAAATTTTTGTGACTTTGTATAGCTGTGAGCTCATGCTTAAAGTGGACAATTTCATACCACTACGAAAGAGTGATTTCTAACAAATAAATTGTTGCAAATTTTGTGACTTTGTTCAGCTGTTACTGGGGAAGGATTCATTGCTCGTGGCATCACCTTCCGCAACACAGCCGGACCTCAAAACCACCAAGCAGTAGCTCTTCGATCGGGCTCGGATCTCTCCGTCTTCTACCGCTGCGGCTTCGAGGGATATCAAGACACTCTCTACGTCCACTCCCAAAGACAATTCTACAAAGAATGCTACATTTACGGCACAGTAGACTTCATCTTCGGCAACGCAGCCGTGGTACTCCAAAACTGCATGATCTACGCGAGAAAACCAATGTCAGGTCAGCAATGCGTGGTAACAGCGCAAGGCCGATCGGACCCAAATCAGAACACCGGAATCTCAATCCACAACTCGAGAGTGATGGCCACGGCCGACCTCCAACCGGTGCTAAGCTCGGTGAGAACCTATCTGGGGAGGCCATGGAAGGAGTACTCCCGGACGGTTTACATGCAGTGCTTCATGGATAGCTTGGTGAACCCTGCAGGGTGGCTGGAATGGAGCGGGGACTTTGCCCTGAATACGCTCTATTATGGAGAGTTCAAGAACTTTGGCCCTGGTTCGTCCACTGCTAAGCGAGTGAAGTGGAAGGGTTACAGAGTGATTACAAGCGCCGCCGAAGCTTCCAAGTTTACCGTCGGGAGCTTCATCGCCGGGAAGTCATGGCTGCCGGCAACCGGCGTTCCGTTCACTGCTGGGCTTTGAAACTAATTATGGGCGACTTGGAAGATCTTTGTTCTTGTGCTGTTCTTGGTGGTTGAATTTTACTGTATTCATCAATAATAATATACCGTTCTTTTGGGAATTTTCTGTTAAAATTAATGTTTATTTCACGATTATTTTGGATTGATTAATCATTTTTTAGTGAAGTTTTGATTTTAAATTTAGTTTTTATATTAAAATTAATTTCTTGAGAATTTTATATTGTTGTTTATTTATTGTTTTAGTCGATGAAATTGGAATTTAGAAGGAAATATATGATAAAAGTGAAATTTGATATATTTTTTTTATTAAATTAATAAAAATATAAAATACTTGTAAGCTTTCGAAAATTTTTATAATACTTTTAAATTTTTTTAAATATTTTTAATGAAACTATTAATATTTTATTTTAAATATATTCTTAAATTTTAAAAATAATATTAATGCCTTTAACTTTTTATAAAAAATATATAAAAAGTCTTTTTTAAAATAAACTCTTTTAAAACCAGATATTAACTAAAATTATTTTTTAAATAAAATATAACATCTTTCATTGTAACGATATTTTTTAATTTTTTTAAAAATTAATGATATTATTGAAATTAAAAAAAAAAGAATTTATTAATATGTCTATATATATATATATATATTATTATTATTGTTAATATACCTATATTTTTTTTTTCGAATAGTCCATAAAATTCTCGCTACCGTTGTAACACGAGCGAGGAGCGGGCTATTTTGGTATTTTCATACAAAACTGGGAAGTGGAAGCCCTAATCTGCACTATATAAATCCTCAATCACACGACGCCCTCATTGCCCAAGTGACTTCGACTTCGATCCAATCTTTTCTTCCCTCTCAACCCTATGTCTGTAATTTCATTTTTGCTTTCGTTGAAATTAGGCAGTGAAGGAGATCGCAGTGACGACTCAGTAAAATTCAAGCTCAACAGACCGGATTGCAGAGTCCTTTCCTCTTTTTAAAAGAGTGAGAGGTCTTTGCGTGTCGAATACCCCGCTGAACTGAGCGATCTCTTCACTCGCCAATTTTCACGATTCGGTTTGTTGTCTTTTCGTTTTTTTTTCCTGAATCAGGCCGGTGATGACTGATATTTTGATTTGCCTACATTGTCTGATAATCTTAATGATTGTGAACAATTTGCCTGAGGCCTGATTTGGATTCCGATGATTTCGTTTTCACTTCTATTTGCTCTGTTTTTAATACACTATGACTGCGATTTAACTGTGTCTTGAGTTTTGGTACACTGTTGAAATTTCATTCCGATTTTCTTAGAGATGCTAGTATCGAATGAGATATTAGTTATCCTTATTTTGTTTAAACTTCGTTTGCATCTGCAATTCATATAAATTTAAGGATGAAGCTTCAACTACTTACAAGAAAGTAATGCTTCATCATGTTAAATACTGGTCTAAATACTATTTCATTTTTTTAATCTCCATCATTGTTTCTTGTCGAAGCTTTTTAATTTCAACATTCTTTTAATAGTCAATTTTCCATATTCTTTTATTTTAATGAGTTAATGCTCAATCCATTTTTTTCATTTAGACATTAGGTTTCAGTAACGAAAACGTATTGAAAACTGGATTTTGATCTGTAACATATAGGTCTGTTGTTTCATTACTACGTATTGGTATATAAATTTTAATTTGTTTCTTTAACTACGATAATTTAATTATCTTGATTGCCATGTGCAAGACCATCGAAGAGGACGGTCTACAATCCTATTCTCAGAACTTCATTTTTTTAAGGATTTTATGCGTCCATGCAGAGTTCCTTGAAGTGACCATTTTAGTCGGATGTATTAATATTTTCAAGTCCTATTTGTCATTATGAAGCTATTTGTGTCTTTTTACCATGAATTCCTCTGTTGCTAGTTCAAGCAAAGATCGACTCATTGAAGAATTTTACTCCATATATTCAAGAACTTGAAAAATTGTAATTACGTTTTAACAATTGTGGTGTCGGAGAATGAAGTTTATCATCACAACAATCTTGATAATTTAAAGAATAAAATTTGGAACTGATTGTTGAAGATCTAAAAGATATTTCTAGTCACCTTGTGTATTTAATTTGGTTCTGTGGCCACCTACAAATCAATTTATACCAATTATTGACGGTTGATATGACGTTCAATATTTCCCCCCTTTTTTAAATCCTCATTTCATTAAAGAATTATTGTCGCTGAAATTGATGAACTGCTGGGTCAGAGAAAATATGAAATAGAGAAGCAAACAAAGACTAATTGGAAGAAACGTTTGAAGCAATTAAGAACATATTGACTACACGAAAAAAATTGGAAACAGTGCAACTTATAATGTTTGGACTGAGTAAAGGAGGGAAAACTAGATTCGAATGTTGGATGTTGTAGGTTATCTGATTCATTGCATCGTCTTTGCAATGCCTACCTGAGATTGTAGAAGGTGATGTTTGTTGCTTTAGGAAAGCCTGGGATACAAATTATCAATAGAAGATTTAGATTTTTATTCAATTTTTGGTTTGTTTTGTTCTTGTCTAGACAGATATTATAGTATCATACTATAGGATTCTGGGTAAAGCATTGGCTTAAATGTTTAACAGTGTTGCTATCAGTAGCTCTTTTCTATGTTCATCGTGACACAAAATTTGATTGTTTAGTTGAACGAGAGATGTCTATGGGCAAGGAACATAATTTTTTTCCCCTGGATTTGTACCAACAGTGAAATCACAACCAAGAGAAGCCGTTACAATCATTCCTCAATCTTTAGGCCAAACATTAGTCTGTTTGGTTATGCTCAGGTTTCTTTGCCTAAATATAGTAAACAAAGCATTGGAATTCAATTAAGCCACGAAACTAAAATGCAAATAACTGTGGACTGCACAGATCAAGAACTAAGCATGTACCAAAATCATTTTAAGCATAAAAACTTAGAGAAAGATGGATAGAAAGATCAAGGAATGTAGATTTAGAAGCTAAGAGTAGCATCAGCAGATAATGAATACATTATCTCAGATCAAGTGTTGGATTATTAGTAATTGCTTCATCATCATCCACTGCTTCCTCCAAACAATCAAATCAAATCAAACTTTCAAGTAAATCACCGGTCAGGGAGTGCAAGTTTCGTCTACGGGGACGAAAAATTAGCTATTCGCAGGCGGTAACGCAAAGATAGAAAACAGAATCGGGGACAATTGATATGATCAATCATACAATATACTTCAATGAAGATGTGAAGAATTATCAAAAGATGTTTCAATTCATCTTCTATTGAAGAAGAATGAAGTTTGATTGTTGTAAATTTTGGGTGGTAAATTTTGGGTGGGTTACCATTTTGAGTAATTTGGAGTTATTTTAAGATTTTTTTAGGTTACATTTACATCTAATTATAGCTCTAAAGTATGAATGTTACAATTCTTGGAATGACGTTAATAGTTTCATTTTGAAGCTATATAAAGCCATGTATGTTGTATTCTTGGTTCATATCAACCACGTTTCAAAAAGGATGGAAAATCAGAAGAAACGCAATAGAACACATCGCATTAAACAAGAATGTTTGAGAAAATTAGAGGAAGAACAAACAACCAAAGTCAGAAGCTCTACGATGGCTCCGCTTTGGCCGGTTGATTTATTTACAGGGAGCAGGGGATTTTACCCTAATTTTGTTGTGGTCACGTGGTAACTTCGTGACCGACTGTACGGCCATCGCGCATAATATTAATATAATTGCACAAGTCATCTCTAAATTTAATTATAGGATTTATTTAATTTAATTATAGGATTTATTATAAGTATACCAATAAAATTATAAGTACCTGGAGATCAGGGTTGGAGAGGAAAATTAAGCGCATTTTATTGTTAGATTTAAAACTAAGGCCGACCAAGGGAGAAAGATTTGGAATAGACATGTGGAAATTAGTAAGATTTGGATTGATCAAGAATATCGATCGAGAATATCTCAAGGCAAGAAAATTGTTTGAGATTCGAATCACTCCACAACCAAGATTGATCATCGAGCTTGAATGATTCTGTAAAAATGTTTTTTTTTTTTTTTACTATATTTTCTAAGTCTACTTATAAATACAACATACTATAAATGCAACATACTATAAATGCAACATACTTATAAATTAACCTTCCTATCTCATGGTCATAATTAATATTACTTTTAGCCATTACTTAATTGTTGGCTTTAATAGTTTCATTTCCAAGAGGTAACATTTATACTTAGTAATCATAATTAACTCTTAACTGTAACATAAAATAAATAAAAAATCTTAAAATACATTAATCAAATACAATAACTCTAGATTATTCGATCTATCCATAAATTGTAATCTACCCAAAATTTATAATACGAAACTTCATTCTCAGTGGCATGAATTGAAATATTTTTTGATAATTTCAATAATATTTTTTCACACCTCCATTTCATTGAAGCATATTATATGATTGATATTTTTTTGTTCACATCAGAAGGACTTAGATAATACAAATGATAACTGAGCCAGACATCGAGCGATGTGCCAATGAAGACGCTAGTCCCTAAAAAGTTGGATTGTGAGCATTTTTTATACGAGTATGAAAAACTCAGCCCCATACATGGGGCAGTATGTCGGTATGTCAACGAGGACGGTGGTCGCCAATGAGTTGGATTGTGAGCATTCTTACATAAACCTCTCCATAATAATGCGTTTTAAACTTGTGATGGAGATATGGTAATTGATGTATTTGTTATATTCAGATGATTGTGAGAATTAAAAAAAAAAAAAAAAAAAAAAAAAAAAAAAAAA